TGTTGTGCAGCCCCATATTTTCCACTTTTGGGAGATTTAACACTTCCTAGCAGTTGTAAGGTCTCTGCAGACTCATGATGGGCAATCCCAGACCTGAAGACCATTTAGACTGAAGCTGCTCCAATTCCTCAACCTGGGGAAGAGACCCCCTGAGATGGGTGGCAATAGAAAGAGCTGGTTGTAGGCAGAGTACACATTTTGTTCTGGGGGAGTAGAGTAGACTATCAGGACATGTTGTGACATACTTTATACCACCTGCACAATGCAGCTAACAAACAACACTCAAGGCTTGGGCAGTTTGTGCAACTGTTACTTATAGTGACAGTTGTTTATGACAAAAAAAATTACTATGTTGGTGATTCCTCAGGTTTAGCTTTTATATTTTTCACATTCTGTGCTGCTTTAGTGTGTGGGTCTGGGCTTCATACCAGGGGATGCTGAGCTCTCTGCACAGAGCAGGGAGACAAAACAATTCCTGCTCTAGATGGGGACCAAGGACAAATCATCCAAATCTCAGGCCCAAGAGCACAAACAACGTGGGCTGAAAAGAGAAAAACAAGCAGGATGGGACTGCCTGGGCTAAAGCTGGAATTGGACAATGACCTCCAAGGTGCCAATGGAGCAGAACTGATCAAAGTGAGAGACCCCGTGAGCGGTCGTGCATTTTCTGACCAAAGTGATGCCTTGTGAAGGCTGCCCTAGAACAGAGGCTAGACTGAGTTAAAGAATAAAGTAGGGATTTATTAAAAGGCCTCAATGGATACACCCTGAGCAGTACAAGAGCCCAGCCAGGTCTACACCCCAGGTGAACCCAAAATGGTCACAAAAGGGCGAGCTCCTTGTCGAGCCCCCTGCCGAGCTGACTTTTTAATAAAGAGCTGACTATTAATAAAGGCATAGACCCTGTTCATTTTACACACCATGTCTTTTGGCAGCCTGCACCCGTCTCACCAGAGGATGAAAAGACAAGGCATTACTGACACGATTTCCCTTTTCTACATGAAAATTAAATGCTCCACTCTCGCAAAACTGTCAGAAGAGGCAATTCTTCCCCATGAAATGCTTTGTCTCACCCAAAGAAGAAAGAAGCCACAAGCCAACACTCTTCTTTATTGCTTCGTTGATTGGTTATTTCTCTGATAGGAATTACTTTGGGATTTTATTTGTTTCTTTCTTTCATTCATTCACGGGGTGCGCAGCAGCTCCTCCGTTGGGTTTGCAGAGGCAATGGAGGAACGGCCGCCAGCTCCGGCAGCTCAGCAGCAGCAGCAGCAGCAGCAGCAGCAGCAGCAGCAGCAGCAGCAGCAGCAGCAGCAGCAGCAGCAGAACTTCTTTCGATCGGTCTTTCGCTCAACTTTCTGCTCGCTCTCTGTCCCCTTCTCCGTCTACCATTCCTTCTACTCCCGTCCCATCTCGTCCCGTCCGTGTTCCGCCTTTCCCAGCCCGGCTCACGCCGCGTCCCGCAAGGCACCCGTGCGTGGGTCGGCCCCTGCCCGGCCATGCCCGGCGCGCCGCGGTCTCGCCTCCGCCAGGCTCTCTCCGGACTGGCTGCGGCGCCTCCACAGGAGCCTCTGGAAGAGTTCCTCACTCTGTTTGTGGCGGGGCAGCACCGTCCTGGGGCTCTGCCTGGCGCGGCCTCTGGCCCGGCCCCAGCCCCGAACGAAGCCCCTGCCGCAGCTCCGCCTGGAGCCGCCCCGCTGCCGCCCGGCTCCCGCCCCGTCCCCGGGAGCTGCCCCAGCAGCTTCCCCGCTCCGAGCTCCGCCGCTCGTCAGCTCGGCCGCCGGGCCCGAGCCGCCGCAGCCCGGGCCGGCTCGGCAAGCAGCAGCGCCTGGGGCGTTCAGGTGCCCCGGGCAGAAGGGCGAGAGCGCGGTGCCGCCCGCAGGGGCAGAGAAGCCTCCCCTGGAGCGGCTCTGCCGGGAGGGCCCTGCTGGGCAGCGGCGGCTGCGGCAGCGTTTGCTGCGGGCCCGGGCTCGCCGCCGGCGCCCCGGGAAGAGACGGAGGGCGGCGGGAGCCGGTGGGCGGCGGGCGGTGAGCTCAGCCCGGCGCTGGCCTTGGCTTGCAGGTGGCCATCAGGCGAGTGTGCCGGGAGCGCATCTCGGAGCGGGCACGGCTGCTGAGTGAGCGGGGCCAGCGGGAGAAGCCGCGGGGCGAGCCGGGCGGGGCTGAGGCCAGGCCCGGCAGGGCGGCAGCCGGAGCTGCGAGGGGAGCGAGCGGGGAGTGAGCGGGGCCGCGCAGCGTCCCGGGCCGGGCAATGGCAGCGGCGCTGGGGCCGGGCAGGGCTGCCCGAGGCGCGGCGCAGCATCGGCCCCGCTGAGGGCATCGCGGGCCCCCCGCAGCACAACGGCGCCCTTGTGCCCCTGGAGCCGGCGCTTTTGGCTCTACAGCATCTTTTGGGTCCATTGTCCCCCAAACATGTCAATGGTGGCCCCATTGTAATACCAAGTAGCAAAGAGCAGCACAGATGACACAAAGAAAATATGGCAAAAGAATAAGAGGAGATGCCCAGCGAGGAAAGGATGTGGTGAGACACTGGCACATCAAGTGAGCTGCACTCCCATAACCCCTTGGCTAGCAGGTCCTGGTCTCACATTCTCCATTTGTTTATTTATGTTTAATTTATTTGCGTTTTTTAAATCATCAAAATAAAATATATCCAATTAAAAAGATGTTGTTATAAATTTGCTCCACAACGGAACATAATCCAATTAAGAATTTTATTAATTACAGCAAGCAGAATATGAGCAAAAGTAGCAGCGCTGGACAACAGACAGAGAGCCTCAAAAACCGAAGCTCCAGGGACTGCTGTCCTGATGCGTTCAAACAGTCTCCTTTTATTCCAATTTCTTCTTTTGTCTCCCTGGAATTTGAAAGCTAATTCCTGCAGTTATCTTGTGTTTCTATAAGCAGTCTCTGGTGTAAATGGTTGTTGTGATCTTATCTTGCATAGGCAGTCTCCGGTGTAAGTGGTTGTTATCTTGTCTTGCATCAGCTGTGTCCATTCGTTGTTTGCATACCTCCGTTGCCTAACCTTATCTTAATAAACAATACCCCGGTCTGTATTTTCTCACAGTTACCTAACCTTTACATATATCTTAATAAACAATACCTCAGTCTGTAGTTTCTTACAGTGTCATAAAAAATCTAAAGATACAGTCAAAATACATTATTCAAAAGTATGAGAACATATGTACATCTCTAACTACACTAAAAACTATAAATATCTATAAAAATCTATAAATTTATAAAATTCTAAAAATTTTTATAAAATTCTATAGAATTCTAAAAATGCTATAAATCCTATTTTTGAAACATTATTTGGACGGTGGGTAGCTTCTTCCTGAGCTTGGAGGAAAGAGATCTCTTCCGTCGGGAGGCAAGGACTTCATGGGAGAACATATGTACCTCTCTAACTAAACTAAAAAACTTCTATAAAATTCTATAAAATTCTATGTAGTTCTAAAAATGCTATAAATCCTATTCTTGAAACATTTGTCTGATGGTGGGTAGCTTCTTCCTGAGCTTCAAGGAAAGAGATCTCTTCCGTCGGGAGGCAAGGACTTCATGGGAGAACATATGTACATCTCTAACTATACTAAAAAACTTCTATAAAATTCTATGTAGTTCTAAAAATGCTATAAATCCTGTTCTTGAAACATTTGTCTGATGTTGGGTGGCTTCTTCCTGAGCTTCGAGGAAAGAGAGCTCTTCTGGACTGCAGGCAAGGACTTGCTGGTAAAGGGAACATAGAAGGTGTCCAGAGAAAACTTCTTGGTAATGCTGCAGCCAGTCAGATCTGCAAAGTGGTGAGACCAAGGGTAACTAAGGCTACAGTGCAAACCTAAAGCATCTGGAGCTCCAGATTTCATGGCACACATTTCCTGGAAACTTCTAAAGAGCTGCACAAGGGCTGCTGGCAGCCCCTGGAGCAGGCCAGGGGAAAGCCCTGCCCCACTGGCACAGGGCTGCCACAGGAACAGCCTGGCCTCTGGGCTGCCCTGGGACAGCAGGAGCCCAGAGCCCTGTGCTTCCCAGGAATGGCTCAGCTGCACATGCACCCTCCTGCTCCTCTCCCTGCCCCACGGCTGAGCAGCCCTACAGCTCCAGGGGCTCTGGCAGAGCACAGCTCATTGCAGGGCACATGCAGGGCACAGCTGTTCCCTGGCAATGTGCACAGGCTCTCTGGGCTGCCACAAGAGCCTTCCTCCCAGCAGAGAGCGGCCCAGCTCCCCCCTCACCTTTTT